AGTAATCTCTGATGGTAGTTCATATTTCTGTGGAATCTGTGGCGATATCCCCTTTATCGTTTTTTATTGCATCTATTTGATTCTTCTCTCTTTTCTTTTTTATTAATCTGGCTAGTGGTCTGTTTTGTTGATCTTTTCAAAAAACCAGCTCCTGGATTTATTGATCTTTTGAAGTGTGTTTTGTGTCTATCTCCTTCAGTTCTGCTCTGATCTTAGTTATTTCTTGTCTTCTGCTAGCTTTTGAGATTTTTTTATCTTGCTCCTCTAGCTCTTTCAATTTTGATGATAGGGTGTCGATTTTAGATCTTTCCTTGCTTCTCATGTAGGCATTTATTGCTATAAATTTTCCTCTAGACACTGCTTTAAATATGTCCCAGAGATTCTGGTATGTTGTGTCTTCATTCTCATTGGTTTTGAAGAACATCTTTATATCTGCCTTCATTTCATTGTTTATCCAGTCAACATTCAAGAGCCAGTTGTTCCGTTTCTATGTTGTGTGGTTCTGAGTTAGTTTCTTAGTCTTGAGTTCTAATTTGATTGCACTGTGGTCTGAGAGACTGTTTTTTATGATATCCGTTCTTTTGCATTTGCTGAGTAGTGATTTACTTCCAATTATGTAGTCAGTTTTAGAGTAGGTGTGAGGTGGTGCTGAGAAGAATGTATATTCTGTGGATTTGTGGTGGAGAGTTCTGTAGATGTCCATTGGGTTTGCTTGGTCTAGATCTGAGTTCAAGTCCTGGATATGCTTGGTAATTTTCTGTCTCATTGATCTGTCTAATATTTACAGTAGAGTGTTAAAGTCTTCCACTATTATTGTGTGGGAGTCTAAGTCTCTTTGTAGGCCTTTAAGAACTTGCTTTATGTATCTGGATGCTCCTCTATTGGGTGTGTATATATTTAAAATCGTTAGCTCTTCTTGTTGCATTTATCCTTTTACCTTTATGTAATGCCTTTCCTTGTCTCTTTTGATCTTTGTTGGTTTAAAGTCTATTTAATCAGAGACTAGGATTGCAATTCCTGCTATTTTTTTGCTCGGTAAATCTTCCTCCATCCCTTTATTTTGAGCCTATGTGTATCCTTGCATGTGAGATGGGTTTCCTGGATACAGCACACTGATGGATTTTGACTTTTTATTCAATTT